GTATCTTATATATAGGACTTAACGGTTCCAAAATTAGCCGAGTTCATTGAAGACATTTTTGAATCAAGAAAGACTAACTAGAAGTACAGTAGCCAAATCTGACACAATATATAATTCCTCATTGCATCTTGATGTGATTGCAGCATGTACTAGCTGACGCTACACCACTCGGACATATACCTGATGCTTGATTGTTTTCACAGTCAATGAACACGAAAATATTTGCATAGCGGGACTAAATCATCGGGCTGGCTACGCTACTCAACTGCTCACATATACTTGATGCTTGATTGTTTTCGAATCCACGTCCTTCTTTTTGGCTTCATTAAGTAGCGTAGTGAAACTATCGGACATTTTGAGCTAAAATGAATACAGTCAAAGAGTTAGTATATATAATGTCACAATTACACAATAACGCGATTTTGAAAGGGCTAAAAGGTCATGATACCACTGATTATTGCGATTAAGGAATGCTTCGGCCATGCAATGACGGATCTCTTCATTTGATGAAGGATATTGCTCTGTTCAAGTAACATTTTCTTTTTGTATCTTTAGAAGTGCGTGAACTTACTGAATGACTTTTACTGTCTTGGAATTTTTAGCGGCAACTTAATAAATATGCTAGCGTCTATGTTTACGGAAATACTGTCCACATTGAATTGATATCAACTGCTTATTAATTAGACAAAGTACCGATTATAGTCGTATCAGGAAATGATCTAATTGTTGGTTCAGCCCTCAAATATATTTGATGCATTAAACTGCTGTGTACAAAATCAGTAATGAATGGCGTTAACTTTAACCAAAAAAATCAATTGAGAATAATTTGCGATGTCGCATTTTACCACGCCATGATAATCACCTTAATTCTTATATACATATGCAGTACTTAAATTTCCAATTGTAAAGATTGTAGAACACGTTATAGCATTAAATTCAAATATTCAATAACTAAACAGTACAAACAACGTTTAAAGGTTGTGACCGACCATAAAATTTAAGCGGGCTAAAACCCACCCGCCAGTTTTGGGAAGGAAAAATAAATGTAGCTCATATTTTGAATGTTAAAAAAAATCCGATGAATTTTTGTGAAATTTCCCTTCGTTTCCGGTCAGATAATACTCCCGCAAGGTCAAATTTTAAGATGGCTTATAACTCCTATATAAAACAGAAAGTTGAAACGTTGTTTCACAAAAATTCATCGGATTTTTTTTTAAAAAGTGTGATGCCCTATCTTCTCTAGTTATACTTTTCACATGCATGAAAGATTAACAGTGATACGAGAATTTTTTTTAATTTTACGAAACCATTAAGTCACTGGATGCATCCAGTTATACCGCGACTATATAGTTTTATTGCATATCTCGTACATATACAGTATATTGAGTATATGCCAGGCTTGCATCTATTTAAGAATTATATATTGGACAGAGCAAATCCTTATGTGTTTCTAAGTGCATGTATACATGGAATGAAGTCGAGTAATGGTCCAGTAGTATTGTGGAGCAAGTTAATTTGGCTGAACTGAATTGCTAAGTAGGAGCAATAATTATTTAAGTACTATTTAGAACACGAGTACTAGTATGGCAGTGTATGTTGTACCTTATGAGTTCATTGGTGAAGTAATTTTAAAAATCAACCGGTTGTCTAAGCCGAGAAAATCAAGGCTAATTAGCTAGTTTATATGCATGTAAATTAACATGATTTGTATCACATTTTTACTATTCCTCATGAATTATTAATGCCTTTTTTAAATATAGTTGTATTTTATTTATAATTATATAACTATATGTATATACAGAGGATGTCCCAATAAAATGTCATTATAAAATAAATTTAGATTAAGCTAATAGAATTTCAGATTATGCTGGATAAATTAACAAGACTATATCATATTCCGTATAATCTTTTCACCGATTAAAATAACCCGGTTTGTCTCCTAATATCGCTTATAAGGTGGCGACACCAATATTCCGACTTGTCTATGCAAACTATGAAGTTATAGGTCAAAATTATTGCGAGAATGGACATACATCCTCTCGACAATAAATTGTTTTGCGGTTCTTTACCTGACAATTTCGTTTAATAAGATATAATAACTAGAAATTTAAATAAGGATGCATGAAACCAATCAAAAAAACTAAACTGCCCTGTTTGCATTCTGTTTTGCGTACGAATTAAACAAGAGCAAATATGGTCATTAAGTTTAAAAAATAATCTGAAACTGCTATAATTAAATTATCGGAAAGCAACAAAGCATTGTGGGAGGATTTTGCCTTTGAGGAGGTATATACTGCCTTGTCTAAGACATACATTTACGTAAGAAAGCGCACGCAGACAGGTTAATTGGCCTGAAAATCTTATGCAAGGGTACAAATTGCTGAGTAATTTCAGTGCAGTGCAGTTAGTATATATATTACAGTCTGGGCGTAATTTCGGGGGCAGTTTTGCACGACCAAAAGGGCGTGGCTGCAGTCGTGCACGACGGACATTTTCGGACATACCTTCATTAATATTTTCGTAATTTATCCGAAATCTTTCCTATAATATTACTTTTCAAAAAATTATGTAAAAGTTTTTTGCCCGACGAGCGTGTCGTTAAAATTGTTAAAATTGCCCGAAAAACTGCAATATTAGTTACGGCCATGATTACAGTGTTATACAGAGTGCTGTTTAGTATCCGACCCATAGAGATTATAAATAACACTAGAGGAGACATTGTAATCTTAATTCAGTAAAAAAAAAGGGAACGTGACTATTGGGGGGCAAATTCAATTCCCGGATGTGTATTCGTGTTCCCATTGGTGACGAGTTTCAAATCAGCCAATGAGAGCACGATTTTATATCCGGGACTTGAATTCCCCCCCCCCCCCCCATTAGCTGCATTCCTAATCAAACTCGATGCCGCCTCTAGTGTTATTTATAATCTCTATGATCCGGCCCACGATCTCAGAAATGAAAGGCACTTAATTGTTCTGACGAGTGCACCGCCGAAGCCCTGATTAGCCCCCCACCCCCCTAAACTTATTTTATCGCGTCATAACACCGCCAGTTCTACGGATCTCTGCGGTTTTATCGGCTTGGCATGGCGTGCGAGTTAAAATACATTGAAATTATTTTCTGATTGTGCTGTTCGATTTTCGACGGACGATAATACCAATGTGTAATTTTAAAGTTCAAAATATTCAGACTGTATTGTATGAACATAAATACTATGTCACAAAAAGACGTATTTGAATGCAGAACAACATGCATGTAGGTTAATGACATTAGTTTGGAATGTGGGGGTCCATATGTCGGTATAGTATTACAATATTAAGCTGCTGTATAGTTTGCCTCCGAACCAAGGCATATTTTAAGGAATTTACAGTGGTGGGCCAAAATTTGCGGTAGGGCCACCGCGTCCCGCCCCCTGCCGGTCCAGCTTTAAGTATTGAATATTTGTGTAGAAATCGTGTTAAAACTCTTCCTGAACTTATTGAGTGTCACATTCAACATATATTTATTATATCTAGCTAGTTTCTACATAGCCTAGATTCTACACTACAGAGGGGTACTCCGCTAACTTCGGTACTGGCGTACTGGGGTATCATGCCATCAAGGGCATGGGTGACAAACCCTAGTTCTGAGTTCGTCGCACTAACAGATGCAATTGATCTGACTAAAAATATAAAAAATGCTGAAATGATTGTAAACGAAATGCAGTGTTGAAAGTGTTCCAGTTCCAGTTCCACTCTGGCACTCTCCACTAAAGTGACTAAACAGAAGTAATTTACGAACATTCACTTGATTCCCTATACAATTTTCTCATATACTCTCTATCCTTAAAAAGTTCTGTCAGGTTGGAGAATTTCTTCTCGCAGTCTCTTATTTTTTCTTTTCTGATAACCGCTCAATTCCTTTCGCTTGTTATTTGTCGCCATATTACAAGTTGATAAAAATTATCATTTTATATTTAAATAAAAATTGTGAAACATCGGTGACATGTGCCCCCAATACGTAACGTCAGAGGAAAAATATGAGTGTACTTTGTGTTCTGTACGTGTATAATTTGAAACAAAACCATTACTGCAATATAAATGCCATCACGAAATTGAAAGTTTATAGACTAGCGTTTTAATAGCTTGTTTAAGGTAAATAATTTTATACTCTTGATGCTAAAGACTGAAGCTGGGGCACACAGTGGTGGGCCAATACCCTGTGAGTGGTGGGCCACTTGAGGGGCCTGGTGGGCCAAATGGCCCACCAGTCTACTACAAATGATTTGTTAGTAAATTGACTAAATTTTCGAGGGAAGACCTTTTTCAACTAATCATGCAGTTGGGTACACTTAAGCCCGCCGCACACGAGAGAAACTTGCTGAGTTAACCGCCTCGCGTGGCGTCTAGCTTAGCTATGCATTTTCACCGCACACGTTGGGAGAACTTCTCAACAATAGCATAATTGACAAATTTGTTTGCATCAGTTTCCTTCATTGTGTTCAAAGTTACACGAAAAAACTGTGGTTTCTCATTGGCTAATTGATGCAAGCACTCAGCTCTGCACAACATCCGCAGACGTTGAGATTTTTTCCTTCGAGGTGAAGAGTATCAAACACGATAGATATTTGCCTCAAGGCCTCGAGAGGTCAAATCCTCACGCAAACTATCCGCACACGAGAGAAACGTGGTGGGCTATAGCTGCCACGCGAGGCGGTTAGCTCAGCAAGTTGTTCTCACGTGCGGTATGCTTAATCTCCATGCAGTTGAAGACCACCGCTCAAAACGTTGAAGTCTGCTGTATATCTATTTATAATCTTCCTCAGATATATACAAGCCCAAACGAAGAAAGTTTATTTGCATGGTATTGCATTATTAATTTATTGCCACTTTTCAGGTGTTGATATAATTGGTTTGAATTTTCTGAAGAGCTGTTTGTAAGAATTCCTTGAAATTGAATAACTAAATAGAATTAAATCCTAGCAAGATGTAGCGAATTCCGAATGCTTGCATGAGGCTTACATAATTTGCCTGTGGTGAATAGCAGCTGCGTTGTACATAAAAATCTGCAAGTCAAGTCGAGATATGTGCTGAGAAAAACAGTACTCGTCCACTAAGACAACGTTGCGCTAAAACAATATTAAGTAAATCTCGCGCGGTGACCATGTTTATATGAGGCTGCATGAATGACCGCTATAAGAGTAGACCTGCTCCAAGTCTGCCTGCATGCATGTCAAAGAGTTTTCTTTTCGAGATTATAAAGTGCGGATCCGGGAGAATTTTAAATCGAGCGGGCGCCAGAGGAGAAAAATGGGATGAATAAAAATCCCTTTGAGAGGCAGACTTGCATTTAACAGATCTTTAGGGTAAGAGCGAATAAGTCCTGGTTATTTATATTTCACTTTCATTTTTGCGCGCGCTTTAATTAAAGTGCCTATGACACGTAATTTCAGAGATATTCAACTTTGTTTGATATACAAATGTCAGCCAGTATTGCATCACACGTACTGCAGTTACTGCATAGTTAGATTTTCGAAGAGCATCATTAATATTAAATTGGTTAAAATATTCCATATACAGATACGGAGACCTATATAATGCATGATTAAATGTTTGTGCAGACATAAGCACAATTTTAAATATTTGTTATCGTTATCCCACAAGATACTAACACTCTTATATAGTCATATAAGCAAATTAAATGAATGCATAACTCATGCACAGTCAATGTTTTAATTTAATTCGAAGTTGCCTGTTAAACTTTCCAAGTTTGTTCCCAATTTTAGACCTGTGCGTGGTACGACAACTTTGCTCAAGTTCATTCACTGACTCCAAAATCATCCGGATATGTAGTAGTTGATAGTCACAAATTACAAATTACAGTCGTGGACTCACTGGACTGAATTGTATGCATTGAGAAAATGAAGCTAGGATAAAATAAGCTAAAATCTAATTCAAAATTAAGAGATTGTTGATTGTTCTACAAATAGGCTATATGCGAATTCCGACCAGTATGAAAGCCAGTTTAACAACATCCTCCAACATTATTGGTACAAGCGGACTGTTGGACTTGCATGAAAATTTTGAATAAAAGTCAAACCTGCGATGAGGATACGCTATATATGAACGAGAAGACATCGTCCCGCACACGGAATTCATTCTGTAAATGTCGTGCAATCTTGCATGTTAACGTTGGAGGATATGCTTCATTGCATAACATGTCAGTTGGAATTCTTTGCGGCATAACATAATTGAACACAATGTTTTGCACTAATGAATTAAATACACAATCAATATAAACGATTGTTGGGAACAATATTCAACTACACCCCCTAGCGCTGAGCAGCTGCCAACATCATGCCATGTGCATGCACAACCAACAATTCATGAACCGAAGCAAAACAAAAAATTGTTACAGCAAGTTTACGCTTTCCCAATTGCATGTATATTGCACCACTTTGACAGCAAATAATTATAGTTAAAGTTGCACATAAACTGTTGGCATGGAGATGTAAAAATTATTTATAGCTATACAGTATATCGCTGCTGACCTCAACGGGCTGTTCATAAGCAGCTGGGCTGGTCCAGTTAGTCGGGATGATTCTATTTAAATCTCTTATCATCATGACTGAGATAAACATCCAAAATAACATTTCAAAGTTGATTTTTTTAGTTGGATTCCAGTAAAAGTATAAGGTGAATATGGAACGATCTTTTATCGACAGGAAAAAAATCGCGACACAATTTATCCCAGCTAGCCAGTGTCACAGTTGATAGTGTCCCCCAGCAGTACTGTCCAGGGAATTATTTAAGAAATTACAACTACTGGGGCTAAGTCCCAATGAGGGCCCCTTCTCCACTCAGTTATGTGTACATAAAAATCATCGTGTACTCAGGGGCGGCGACAGCCCCACCCAAATGTTGGAGTTGGGGTGTAAGTAAGATATTGCCTACTAATTTCAAACGCTTTATAATTAGCATTTCTTTCCCAAAATTGTTGGCTAGCGAGCTGGGGGGTGGGGGCTTCATGGCCCAACATCACAAATTTTCCGAACATTAGTCATTCATTAGTCATCACGATTTTCGTTTGGGTTAACGAAGCATTGAATTGCTTGTTTAAATTTTCCGTAATTTTAGCTATAATTATTAGATTTTTATCAGTGTCAATCAAGGGCCGGTTGTTGAAAAGCAGCCAGCTTTACTCTGGGTTAACGCAAATTTCAAAGCAGTCTTCCCAACAGCCTGTTTAGAAACATAAAGATAGTTTTCTAAAATTCATGTCTGGATCAATAATTATTTTCTAAAATTTTGAAATGAACAGATGTGCAAATGTACCAAAACTAAAACAGCAGGTTAAATTTTAACCCATGGTTAGCACTAACCTAGCCTACTGCGCAGACGTTGTTAGTGGCTGAGACCCCTCCTAAAGTCTGCTCACATTCGCTACGTTTTTGTTTGCAAAAGACACACCTCCATACCTCCCTGAGTGCTGTCAGTGTAGCATAGCAACAATATAAGCGAACAAAATGAACAAAATAAACAATAGTTATTACAGTTTTGCTGCAAAAATGGTTAACATATTAAAGAAATGAAGACATTTATAAAGAATAAGAGACAACACAAGAAATTTTAAACATATTGTAGGTTTTACGAGTGATTTGAAAGAGTTTTGGTGCAGTTTTGTGCGTTAAAATTGGACTGAATACGATAAGTGAATTTATCTTTGTTTCGAGCTTTGTTTTCCCTGACGCTTTATATGAAATTCGGTTTGTTGACGTTTTTGCCTGACACTGTTTACTATTTGAGAAATTTCAAAAAATTTCAAATTCTTTGCAATTCTTTGATAGCTTACTGTAGCTATCCATATTTTTTTGTTATTATGTGCCATTGAAAAATTGCTTAGGCAATAGGCACTCAAGGGTAATCATGACATATGTAAATGTTTTGTTTTTGCTCATTTGCCATATCACATTTTTCTTAAAATTGATTGACTGTTTGAATCCTATGATTAAATATGATTGGTTGGTTGAAGTCAGCACTCAAATGTGATTGGTTGAAAGAAGGTGCGATTTCAGCTCGAATCGCACTGCTAGGAGTGTGATTCGTATTTCGTGCTGAAATCACACTCCTGTAAACCAATCAGATTGCAGGAAACACCATTGATTTCAAAAAGGGTATAATAAATAATAATATTTCTGTGAGACGGATTAAAAAAACTAATTAAGCTGTCCGTGTCAAAATTAAGTTGATCTACAAGAGTGTACCATATTCTACAAGTCCTGATGAGAAATGATTGCACTGCATTTTTTAAGGATTTTTCAGTGGTGGGGCAAAACTGCCAAAAGGCCCATTTTCTTTGCGCTCCCCACAGAATAGTATGCGATCGCTGAAGGTGTGAGCCGAGTACAGCAGGCATGAGTTAGCTAGGGGGATCTGGGGTATGCCCCCCCCCCCAGGAAATTGTTAAAATTTGGGTCTCTAAAATAGCATTTCCTGCATTCTGAGAACACGTTTTTAAAAAATCTCAGCTTCTCAAAACACAGGCGGCCCAATCTCGCAAGGGTCAGTATAATAATGTTTAGTATAATTACATAGGTGATTATTGAAGATTCTCCACGCCGGTTGGTTGCCGTTGAGGTGATTACTACGCGATAATCACCTAAGCGATTTTCGAAATGGCGGCCGAAGCCGTTTTATCAATTAAATGACGAAGAAATGTGTATTTTTTACTTTTTTCCAAATAATCACCCATGAAAATATACAAAAATAATTATTTACTTCAGGCTCGGTGATTACCATGAATAAAAACCTCGACTTTGTCTCGATTTTTATGCACCGATAAATCGATAATCACCTCGCCTTCGGTGAATAATTGTTAAATATTATAGTAAAAATATGTCATAAAATATAAAATTTAAAATGAAATCCAAAGTCACGGAAAATATTAGTCCAACAAAAGAGTAATAAAAGGAGAATACAAACTATCAAATAGGCAAGTCAATTTCATTTTAAAATTAATATTTCATGACATATTTTTACAATAATATACATTACTATACTGACCATTGAGAGATTGGGCCGCAAAACAAAGTTTTAATGACGAAATTTGTAATAAATAATAGTTTTTAATCAGTGTCACTCAAATATTTTAGTTTCTTTCCTTTCTTGACTTTTATAAGATGGAATGTCGAGAATGTGAGAGGATATGAGAAAGCAGGCTGATGCAGCTTTTTCAACATGGTTTACTTTTTACTAATGATCAAAAGGGCCCAGTTCATCTGAGAATCTTGCCTCACTACTGGGGTAAATGCCTCCGTAGATATATAGTTAAAAAAATGCCCTGAATGATTGCTGAAAGCTGACCGACTAAAGCTTATTTTAAGTGTTAGTAGTTAGTTTGCTATAATAAGTGATTTATTTAAATGCCTGCAGTTTATGTAATATATTAATTGGCACGCAGTGATTGGCAACCATAGCTATAGCTGTTGCGGTGTCCCTGCCAAAACGTTCATGTAAATATATATAAGTGCATGTAAATTTTCGTTATTATATATTGGATTGTAGGTAATCTTGCCTTGCCTATAGTGCAGCAGCCGCGACTCGATCAGCAAGTACGGACACACTTATACCGCACCTGCTACCTGCGCTAACGTAACCAACCACAATGGATATCCTTGGCAACAAAAGACAAACAGAAATCACATCTGAAATACTGAACACTGCAGACGAACCTTTTCAAGTCGTATTCAGTTTCCATTTATCAGACTTTGTACATCTGGTTCCATTGTTCTATTACAGGAAAGGTGGGTGTTTTAATGTGATAGATAGTTAACATATTGTAAAGATACCTGTCATGTTTGTGATGTTACTCTGAGCCGGTATATCCACACCGAGCAAGCTTGAAAAATATGCCTGAGGCTGACCACGGTGGGAATCGAACGTACTCCTTTGGAACACAAGCCCATCGTAGTTTCGATTCCCACCGTGGTTCGAATCGTAGGTTCGATTCCCACAGTTACCAGGCATATTTTTCAAGCTTCCCGGTGTGGATAAACACTCAGAGTAACATCACAAGCATCATATTCACCTGAGTACACAACATCAACAGGGAAAAAATCATATTACTAGATTGCATTGATATCGAAGGAACTAGACTGAGTTCCGAAATATCACATACTCGAACCGACCTGACGGCGTAGCTCAGTTAGCATAGCATTTGGCTGGTATTCCAAAGGTCGTAGGTTCTATTCCTACCGTTGCCAGGCATATTTGTCAAGCTTGCAACACCAACACAGAAAAAAATGATACCTGTTATGATTAAATTACCTGAACATTTAGGATCGTTTTTCAAGGATAGTTACATTTGTATAAAAGTAGTAACTGCATGATCCAATTGTTAATACGTAATTGCATGGATATGATTGGGTTATGATTTTAGTGAACCTCTAGACAACATTCTAAAATTGAAAGAGGCCGCATGCTTAGAAAAAATCCATTCGTCTTCAAAGTTTCGTGAGCTAAAATTCATTCTAATGGCCATTCCCCAATTAACCAAAATTTTGAACTCAACAAGTCTAAACAAAATTTTTATCATAGCATGAAAAAGCATCACAAAATTAGTAATATTCCAAAGTTTCGTTGCGAAATGTTGTAAAATGCGGATAATGTAGCCTTGCGAAGTTTGCAATTTTCTGTCATTTTAGATTACAAACGGGAAATGGTTACCACTTCCGTGCGTAATACAAAATGACTGAAAATTACAAACTTCGCAAGGCTATATTATCCGCATTTTACAACATTTTGCAACGAAACTTTGGAATATTACTAATTTTGTGACGCTCTTTCAAGCTGTGATGAAATTTTTGTTTAGGCTAGTTAAGATATAGATCGTCCATATATCATAACAAATAATCTGAATACATTTGTAATTTGTAATTTTGTTTAATTCACCCAAAATAGCTGCTGTAATCACATTAATTTTCGATTATAATTACAATACAGGGCTAGGAGACTACTAGAAACCTATCAGCCTTTTCATTTTAGTCCCCTAACTTATACATTAATAGATAATATATAATAAAGTTTTTACAGTTCGAAACTTAAAACAAAACAAATCATGAAAATAGTACAAACCTAACCAAGCAAATCTACGAAAGAACATTGCATAAATGAGTATAGATAAGTACACTTTCGACGTTAGATGCAGGTCAACTATTAGTGCAGGTTGTAATTGTGAAGCGTATATATAACGAAATCGAGCACACAGTTGTGTCAAGTTGTTACAGGTTTAATAATATACATAAGAATATTGCTCGATTGTGATTGGTTGATCCCAAACAGCAGCGCAAAATTCTGTAACAACAGTGCAAAAATCTGTAACTGATCGGACTGGTGGAAAAAACATTTTATCTAAAATCGACCAATCAGCTTACTGTAAAGCAGTCCTCAAGTATCGGTCACAGATTGCTTCGAAACAGGGCGGCCGCGCTACTAAATTATGTCTTTTTTTAAATGGAAAAGAATTTACCAAGACGAACAAACATTACCGAATAGTTGAGTTAAATTTTCAAGCCGTTAGCTCTGTATAATGTGATGTAATAACAAAGCAGGAAAACTAGCTTGTCTGTTCGCTGTGTCAACGAACAAGTTTAAAATACACTGTTGTAAGTTAAAAATACACTATTGTCTCGAACATTTTTACGTGTATTATTAATGCGTAATATGATAGTTTCTCGTGATATTTAGTTAGAACAAGTACTCGTGAGTTTTTCAAAGACCTCAAATAGCATTACTCATCCGGACAGGTGCTATTTTGACGCTCGTTACAAAACTCACTCGTGCATGTTGTACCAAAATGCACTCGAAACTAACCTATTACCTGTACTAAGCCGGTGATGGTCAAGACAACCTATAGAAATAATAGACATAGAATGCGCGGTGATGACGAATCATGTCTCCACTTTTTCACCGTGCGTGCCCTTTTGAATGCGCCATTTTGAATTTTGGCCAGGAGTGCAAACTACAGGGTACAAACAAAGCTAAAACTACGTTTTTATCGTCAAAACGTTTTGTCTTGTTGTCTAATTTGTAGTTTGGGGATAGATTTTGAGTATCTTGAAGGCACAAACTGTCAAAGCAAATGTACAGTAACAAAACGGTGAAAATCGTGCAGCCTTGTAAAAACAAAGTATAGCGGTCTATAGATTCGCGAAAATATAATTTACTCATAAAACATTTTTTCATGCTCTGAACGTAACTGTTTTGCTAATATCTTATAAGATTACAAAAGGATAGTTCTTTCTTCGTCGGGTTTCGTTTTTCTTCCATATAAACGAAGTGTTTTCATGTTCTTGAAACAAAAATATTTAGTTGTCGATAAACTGTAAATTGCCTAAAAATAATCGTCGAAAACTATGGTTTCAAAAGCGTTGCCTCAAGCTCAAGCAACGTAGAAAAATATGTAATATAATTGTGCAAGTTTAAAAAGATTCTTGAACTCCATTTATATTATAAAAGAGTTGAAATATTTGTAGAACATGCCTATTGAGTTTGTCTTGATCTTTCGTGTTTTGTTTTGGCTTGCACAACAACATATGGTTGAAGATGTATTTTTAAACGACGATTTCTGCATATATTCTGTTCAGAACTACTGCTTTTCGTAAAAAAGTCCACTGGAATGGGTTTTTAGACACTTTTTCTTCTTTTCCAAACGATTTTTCCAAACTTATAAAAACTTTTGCAAACTTTTCAGTTGAAAAAACAATTCGCTCTCCCTGCAACCGCGCGAAATTCCTTGCATTCAGGAGTCTGGGACCAACCAAAATGCAATTTTCAATGCGCCATTTTGTGGAGACAAATTGTTTACTGAGAAAAGATAGGAGCACGCATTCTATGTCTATTATTTATATGAGACAAACTCGATCTGTGTTTAATTTATTATGGCTCGCCCTGGAAATCAGATACGCTGTTCACACTTTATCTTAGTTTGAACTTATTTCATTTTAAATAGAAAATGAATATGTATGGTTTACGAATGTTCTATTCTGTAATTTTCGTGCAATGTTTGGTGTTTCCACTTGCAAGTGCTTCCCAGGCTGGCTCGTGTTTTTCATCGTCATTCTCAAGAGCAATTGGTTACATCCTTCGTGGATTTTTACTTGGTGAAATGAAAGTGGCTACAGTGATTGAATGCAAGAAGCGTTGTGTCATCAGTGCAAACTGTTTATCATTGAATATATTAACAAACGGCGATGGAAGCTTCATGTGTCAGCTGAACAGTGATGTGAAGGAAAACGGAGTCAAGGAACAGTTTGTACAGCATGGGTCTGGGGAGTACTATGGCTTGAAGGTACGTCCAGCAAAAACTTTGAAACTTATTTTCCGAGAAACATTTCTTGTGGAGTTGGGGGAAACAGTTTGGTCGAAACATTATATCTAGCCATGCAATTTTCTCAAAGGCCAGTACACTATGAAGTACCATATGTATCCCGTCCATGTTTGACAAAGGTGTAGGTAATTAGGAAATATGCATCATTACTGTTTAATATAGTCTATCCATGTTCCGTAAAAATGTGCAAACCAGTGATGCAAATCGTGGAATTTTAATTTCTGTCGCAAAATTGGGATATATTTGTAATAAACATTTGCTGGTATAGAATACCTTGAGAAATTTGGTAACTTACAACAAATATACTGGTTACTGGATCATTCTTTAGGGGGGGTTTTCTCAATTTAAAATCCTGTAATAAATCAGTATCTGTTTTATCGTACATGATATGATATATTTAACAGTTATTCTACGAACTGGAGTCAAATATAAGCTGATAGCCAATGAAGCGCGTAGCGCCGAATCGGCTATCGCTCATATTCGACGAGAGTGAGTGGAATAACTGTTTTATTATTCCAGACCTTGTGCATATAATAATAATTAATATATTCTATACATCATTATATATGCTTAGGAAACATATGCATTCTTTTGTTATATAGATAATTTTATTACATATCCGACAGATTGAAATCAGTATCTTTCTGTTGTTCTAGGAAAAGAAACTATGCGAGAACAATGGGAAAATATGTCATACAGGTAAGATCTAAATTCACGTCTTTTCCAACGGAATAAATTAGAACTATCAAATCGGATAAAATTGAAGGACATATCAAACAAAACCTTCAAAAGAAGTCCAAAATTTGATTTGTCACCATGTTCGTGAATGTTGATGAAAACAAATTGTAACAATTATAAACTTATTCAAGTTTGTAGGTAAAATTCTGCTTGTCCTCGCAAATTTGGCAAACATTTAAAACCAAGATAAGATGGAAGCATTTTTAAGTTTTGAGCGTTTTTGGAAAAAACGCAATTTTTTCAATAATCTTCTCTATCAATTCCGTTGCAAACAAGTTTATATCAGATTGAGTTGTTTAACTGTGTTTGTACTTAAATAACAGGAGTGCATCACTCCATAAAATCTCGTAGACCTTATAGACTGGTCCCAAATCTCTGAATATCCCTACCAAATCACGAATTTGTGATTTCGGTATTTGTAAACAAATCTACTCTCCAGATGTATTGCATTTCATTGTTGTAGTCAAACAATCACAAAACATTTTTCCTGTTGTATATGACCCGTTCACTGATTTACTCCACATGAACAAAGGGGAGGATTCACGACGACTTCAGAGATTGCCATTTGCGAGATTTCGTTTCTTGCTAGAAGTTTTTCATTAAAACTGTTTGCTTTGCTCGGGAAACGTTCGTTGGTGGCGCATGGAACGTGATTATTTTGCATCCGAAACTTCTAGTTTGGACCTGGAATGTACAATAAGTCTTGTATTTTAAAAGTAACTGTACAAATGCCCTAGTTCCACTGTTGTATACCTGTAATACTCAGTGCTGTAACAGTTACAGTTTATTTGTAACTAGTTACAGTTATAGTTACATTACCAAAAACATACTGTAACTAGTTACCGATACAAGTTACAGACGCCAAAGTGTAACTAGTTATAGTTACAAAGTTACAACATATTTTTTATAACTTAGTTACAAAGTTACTAGTTACATTTATTGATTACAATTAAGAACGCATACAATTCGAATGGGCCGAATGGTAATGAAACTTGCGGCAAATTTATTGGCAAAATTAATAACTATTTACTAGATGTATCTGCATGCATCTGTAAAATTCCACCTAATCGATTTTTTAAAAGAATTGTCAATTAAAAAAACTCTGCCATTATACAGTCTGAACGAATAGATTGAAAAAAATATCCCTCACAGGCTAGTGGCTTCTGACTTTGCAATGAAAAAGCAGAAACACGAATACGTGATCATGACTGGGCCAAAGCCAAGTGAAATGAGGCCAAAGACCAATTATGACGAGGCCAAGGCCCAAGTGAAGGCGAGCGACGGCATTCCGATCAGTTCCAACTGTAGGTAAATTTGCCGTTAATCCTTGTCTTAAATTTGTGTCTTGAACGGATTCTGTTGTGTCAGATTATTACTCCTGTGCAGATGATTAAGAGCTTGCCTCACTGTGTATTGATTTATTTCATTTTAAAAACGTACACAAATAGCAACCAACAAAATGTAACTTGTATGGCATTTTTTGTAACTAATTACCGTTACAATTACATTTTCTCAAAATGTAACAAGTTACTGTTAACGTTACTGAAAAATGTAACGATTACTTGTAACTAGTTACTTTTAACGAAGTTACTTACAGCACTGGTAATACTTGCACTCAATACTTTTCCTTTTCTGGAGCCATTTTGCCATGATAGAACTAGTATGGGACATGCGAGTGTAAACAAAGTTTCTGAAACGTTCACTGATCGACATTTCTTATGCAAAACAATTGGCGTGATGCCAACATTTTTTGACTGAGAAACTATGCGGAAGAAACGTTTTGAAACATAGTTTTAAATGCACTTCACAGAGGTTTGCAAGTGGAGTACCAAATATTGGCATGCTTGCCGCCACCACAGCGTAGCCCTTAACCCGGCTTGAGAAAGAGATCGTTGTTAGGGACCGGTCATAAGTATGTGGATGTGTGGGGGGGTAGGGTGGGGGTGGTGGAAAGTAAGTTGGCGAGAATTGAAATTGGTGAAACAATTTATCTAACCTTTGGGGGTATGAAACGAATTACGACATTTGTGCTTGAGTACGAAACAAAAATGAGTCGAATACTATGTCATGATTAATCAAAACTACAGACTTTTATAATACAATATACTTTAAAAAAATCGAGTGTATGTTCCTAACTGTTCCTAATAAATTGCAATGTAGCACAGTAGTATTCATGAAAGTGTCTCGATCGGAATCTATTAGCCATTACGAACTTGATGAGTGGACTGGGGGCGAGTGTTAAACTGAGTGTTAAAAAGTACCAATCTC